TAAAGAAAATAAACAAAAGAAAATAAATGCTAGTTAGGTTGAAAACCCAACAAAATGGGCAATCTAAGCAAAAAAGGCTTATAAAAAAATGAGTGAGTTGGAGAGAATGGAAAATGAAAAGAGGTGCTAGGATGAAAACCTGAAAAGGCTCCTAGGCAAAATGAGAGATATGAGAGAAATGTTTGTTCTTGCAGGCACTCATTGTATCCTTGTGAAGAATAAGAAGATTCAAGATAAAGAAGAAGAGAGGAGGAGAAAAGAAGACAACATTGGGAGGCCATTAAACCCAAGATGCTCTTTTGTAATTTGAGTTTAAAACTCATTTTTCTTTGTAATCCTTGGTGGTCTTTGTGTTTGTATTGTGTTTTTGTTGAACTGTGGAACTTTTGGACAAACATTGACACTTGTAAACATTTGATCTTACTCGAGACGAGTAAAGGTTTAAGTGTGGGGGAGTTGATACGTTCGTAATTTCCATATTTATGTTTACGTTTTTAATTAGTTTTGCTTGACTTTTACTTTGGAAATTACACACTTTTGGTGTAAATAGATTAGATTGTTAAATTCTTGTAAATAGGTTAGATTAGATATATTCTGAGCTCAAGCAGGTTTTGGTCACTCGAAGTACAGTTGGTGAACCCAAAAAGTGAAAAGAAGGTGCAAAAGTTCAAAGACAAAAGAAGATCCTGAATTTTGGCCTATACTCGATCGAGTATTAGCTATACTCGACCGGGTATTAGGTTGGAACTTCAAATCGGATCAGATCCGAAGACAAGGGAACATGCAGGGAAGATTTTGGCCACGATTTTATGTCTATACCCGATCGGGTAGACCGACATACCCGATCGGGTATGCCTTTGAATTGCAAACGAAGATCGGTCGAGTATAGCCCGAATACCACTTTCTAAGCATACTCGACCGGGTATTCATATATACTCGATCGGGTATACACTTAGAAAATAGCCTGAAACCGGTCGAGTATGCCTCGGATCGAGTGTTACACACGTACTCGGTCGGGTACCATGTATATACCCGATCGAGTACCCGAATCCCATCCCAAAAACCTATAAATACACCTCCTTTCCTTCACAAAAAGATATCCAATCCCTTTGTACATCTAAACTCAGTATAGAATAGCTCTTTCTTTATATTTTTCATCATGTTTAGTCTCCAAATGAGGAGCTAAACTCTTCCATCTTGGTTTTGCTACTTTGAAGCTTAATGAATTTGTAAGTTGTGAGTTATTTTCTTTAATCTTCTTCCTTGAATATTAATTCTTTCTTTCAAAATACTATCTCTATATCAAAGTTGGGGAGTGTTACTAAGATGACAATTAGTTAACATCTTGACATTGGTTATAGTAATAGCTATTTCTTCCTCTATGATAATATTGGGGAGTGTTACTAAGATGACAATTAGTTAACATCTTGATACTAATCATAGTAGGATTCATATATTTTAATATTCTTCCTTGAGTATTAATTAATTCCTATTCATATTTCATGTTAATATCTTAAACATTACTTAAAGTATCAACTAGTATTGTTTCTCATATTAATTATTACTAGAATCAATCGGTTAATACGCTTGTTATTAATCCGGTTCTTTCAACGGTAGTAAACTTGGAATATTAATGCATGCATCTCATGGTTAATATGCCAAGGGGAATTAATTATATTGATTAAACCAATAAACCGCTTGTGTTGAGGTTATCAATCTCAATCGTTTTCATCTTAAGTTTATTGCTACTATCAAGTTAATATACGGCGCTTGTTCTATATTGACTCGATAGTAAGTTTTATTAATGAACGCATCTCGTTATTAATAACTACCCTCGATGAACTGGATATACTCCTCGATTGAGTATTCGAGAGGAAGATAGTTAAAGATATAACCGGGATCGACGAACATTTCATTAAGTGGATAAAAACAAAACCAAATCTCCATCTCATTGAATTGAACTCATATAGGTCGTTTATCTTAGTGTTATTAAACCAAACAAATCTAAACCCCCCTTGTTACTATTTATATAAAAGAAAAGTATTCCTTTCCCTGTGGATACGAACCTTACTACACTATACTACGTATTAGTGTCGTATTGATTAATTACTTTGAGTGCACCTAACGACGAGTGCATGTCAACCCTGCAAGCCTAAAAAGCCTATAAATACACCTCATTTCCTCCTCATTAATTCACCAATTCACATATACTCTTAAGTTCAGTTTATAATAGCATTTCTTTATATTTTTCTAACTATGTTTAGTCTCCAAATGAGGAGCTAAACTCCCATTTCTTGGTTTTGCTCTTGAAGCTTGTTGATTATTAAAGTCATGAGTTATTTTCTTAACTTCTTCTCTTGATTATTAATTTTTCCCTTAATCTCATTCTATATTAATGTTGGAGGGTTGCTAAGTGACGATTAGTTAACGTTCCGACATTAATTACTACTATAAACGATCAATGAATCGATGGTTAATCGTTGGTGGTTTCACAAGTAAGTAACTTCGGTTTATTAATGCACGGTCGTGGTTAATAGACTTAAGAGGGATTAATTTTGTTGGTTAAACCGAAACCGTTGTGTTGAGGTTATCAATCTCAATTGATTTCATCAAGGAGTTAAAAAGATTGAATGCTACTGTTATATCGGTATACGGCGTTGTTCTATATTTGATTAATAGTAAGGGTTGTTAATGAACGGTCGTTGTAAATAACTACCCTCGATGAATTGGAGATACTCCTCGATTGAGTATTCGAGAGGGGATAAGTTATAGATATAACAATGATCGACTAAAATATATCAACAAGTGGAAAGTAGCAAGACCAAGTCCCTTTTATTCTTGAATTAAAACTTATTTAAGTCGTTCAATTTAGTGTTCAAATTAAATTAAACCACTCAATCCAAATCCCCCCCTTTTATTTACTTATTTCATTAAAAAGATAATTATTCCTTTCCCTGTGGATACGAACTCTACTTCACCTATAATACGTATAAGTGTGAGTATCGATTTATTTTGACGCACTGTGACAAAGTGCACGTCAATATGTTTTTTTAGTATTTAGGCCATAAACATGATTCAAAGAAAAATAATTTTTTGGCCAAAAAAATCTTTTTTGTTTGAAAAAAGAAAAATGATTTTTTTGTTTCAATAGCTGAAGTTTATTTTGTGATGTAACTCGTGTTAAGAAAAAATGTAACTCGCACGTGGGAATATGTTACTCGCACAAGAAGATGTTACCCACCCACAAAAAGATATAACTCCATATACAATCAAATGTAAATCCAGGCTATAAACATAATTCACAAATGAAAAATGTAATTTAATTTCATATTTTATGAAATTTAAATTGAAATAAACTAATTTAATGTCTCAAAAACGCTAAAAACATATCAAAGAGATAAGAAATATATATTTTTTTGCAAAGAGGTGAGAAATATATTATAGAAAAAAATATGTATATGAAATATAAATTATATTATAGAAAAAATATATTTTATTGTGATTTCAGTTGAAGATAAAAAAAGTAGAAAAATATATGATTATGAGATACAATTTAGTTATTTCATGTGGATTAATAAAATTTGGTAATAATTTGGTAAAGAAAAAAGTGTATGAATATAAAAAATATTGCAAAAAAAAGTGTATGAATATGGAATGCAAGATACTTATTTTATTTAGATTGATGAACGTTTTGGTATGTATTGATAAAGAATAAAAAAATAGATATAATTATATAGATCCAATTAAGTTGAAAATAAAGAAAAGTAAAATTGCAATTAAATTTTACATTCATGTATTACATTCATTGCACACCACGTGGACGGTAGACCGATCACATGTTATAATTTAGATTAGATTTAAGCGGACTAAATTAGATTAGAAAAAATCAAATTAGTCCAGAATGTAATCGGAAAAGTTACATTCACGGGAATGTAATATGGAGGGGAATTTTATACCATATATCCATGTCTTAAGTTATCTTACACTCCCGAGGATGGTCTAATTTTCTTCCGAAAATATCCTCAATTAATTATCTCTTTTCATTTAATTTCTCTATATAGTGCGAGTTTATAAAACTTTAATGTAGTTTCTAAATATGTAAATTTTATTTACTAAAAAATAATATTATTACTGAAAGAGATTGGTTAATTTTATGGTCAATCGGTCGTAGATTGTGTGACAACTTTTAAGTGAGATAGATGGAATATGTTTATTTAATTATATTTGAATGTCTATTCTTGTTATTTTCATAATTCTTTTTTCCTTAACATTTAAATTTTAAGGTATTTATTTTATAAGATTTATAGATTATTTAAGTTTTTGATGAGTGGATTTCAAAATTTAATGGCAAAATTGATCACTTTTTCTGTAATTTGAAAAGAAGCTTTATGAATAACTTGATTTTTTTATTTTTTTGAAATAATAATAAATATATTTAGATTACTATTTGAACAATGTTTTTTTTCACTTTTGAATTGGATCTACAACTTTTTACAATTAAATGTAGTTTACTTAAAAATAATTCAATTAGGTTTGATTTTATTTATTATTAAGATATTTCATTTTTTCTTTAATTTTAATTACTTTAGATGTAGGTTCTAATAGATTTATTATGTTAAGATAAAATATTTAAAGGACATTGAAGTAATTCACCATATCTGCAATATAAGATATCTTTCGACCAAATAAATTAATATAACATTCACTTAATCTTAGCTAAACACAAATGGAAATAAATTGAATACATTCTCTATCTATCTAACATACTCATAAATCTGACATTCCGCGTTAATCTCACATTCACTAATGTTACTCCTTGACAACTAAATAACCTAGGCAGTAGTAACTAGTAAGTACTCCGTAAAAGACAAGTGAAATGTTCGGATTACCGGTGGACGTAGCTCAACTGGTAGCAAAGAGTGCCACAAGGGTTAGAATCCGGGTTCGAATCCCGTCAATTAGGATGAGAGGTTAGTATCTAAAAATGCATATAGCCCTCTCCAACTACGGATGACAAAGCCACAATGATTAGGGTCATTTTTTTTGAATGTTCGGATTGATTTCACAGTCTACTTTGAAGTTTCATAGAACGCACCCGGACCCCATCCTCCCTGTTTTTCTCGTCAATTCTTCTCTGTTCTTTTCTTTTCTTATAATCCTGGAGTTTATAGTTTATAGGATTGAATTGAATTAGGGTTTAGCAGAGATGGGGAGCCCGAAGAAGAACCAGAGCAAAGGTTTCTTCGCCTCAATGACTTCCGGGTTGTCTATGTTCGGCAATGTCATCCACAGATCCGTCAACGGGTGAGCATCTCTTGCTCCGGACGTTTTGATTTGATCTGGCTCTTCTAAATGGATGGGGAACTTGCTCAATTTTTCAGCTTTTGGCTGCTTTTCAATAGTAATATTGAGCAGGAGCTATGGAGTACCACTTCTATTTTTGTTTTCATGTTTGGTGATTTGAAATTTGTTACGGAGGAAACTATTTGCTAATTGTTTTCAAGTTTCTATTTTTCTTTGGGCTAGCTTCTGAAAAAATATTTATTGATTCATGCATCTTATTGTTATCACTCTGTAGTGTAAACAATAGGGTGTTTTACTTTTGTAACTATCGAGCTACGCGTGAACTGCTTTCAGTTTAAAAAATCTTTTCCCCAAATGCTTCCAGGCTGGTTGGATACGAAGGGTTGGAAGTTATAAATCCTGAAGGAGGCAAAGAAGATGCAGAAGAGGAAGCTCTGAAAGGAAGATGGAAAGATGAGGTGAGTAATTGTTGAATTTTAATTGCAAATGCTCTGTTTAAAATCGTAAAAGTATCCTTTCATGTTTTCAAATCCTAAGTTTTCTGCATAAAAGTGATAAACCCCTTCGATAATAGCTTTTTTTGGGTTTTGATTTAAGCATGAAATATGCGTTCTGGACTTCGGCAAAAGCCTCTTGAGTTTTCTGAAGTTATCACTTGGATGTACTTGAAAATCTTCATTTTTTCAGTCCAAACGGATTTAAACTGGGTGCCCCAAGGCCTAAGGATTCACAGTCCTCAGCACTGCCCCCTATGTGACTGGACGCGTGGTTTGTTGCTTCATTTTTGTGTGACCGGAGTTTCTTCTCAAAAGAATTATGATCCTTCAAAACGGACTAAAAAGTTGTTTTTCTTGGATGATCAAAGGGCTGTTCAGTTTCCCTTCCCCAAACTTAAAGTCTAAAACTACAGTCATCCTAGGAGATTAGGGGTATGTGCGGTGCAATTAGCTGAAAAGATACTTTTGTGAGCTTTTTAGTAAGTGTTAGGTTTTAGTGACTAAAAAGATTTTCAAAGAAAAAGGTGATAATTGTTTGATAAAAAGATGGATGTTTGATTTAGTTATGTTTGGTATACAAGCTGTTTGTGATTAATTAATGCTAAAAGCTACATACTTTTCTCAGATGTTACTCAACGTAGCTTCTCAAAAAAGATCTTTTATTTTAAAAAAAGCTCTTAAAAACTGTCGCACCAAATATACAAGTAGAAGCTTTTAGATATTTTTGAAACAATACAAAAGCTAGAAGGTAGGAACATATGCCTACCAAACGTGCACTAGCTGTTTTATTTGGTGACCTTTCATATGTGTTGAGTGATTTATTGAGAACACAAATTTACTTGGACTTTTCCTGAGTGACTATTTAGAGTTTCTTTGCAAATCATGGAGTACGCGACTCATGTGACTTCCTGCAGTTAGTGCTCCGTGAAATACCTAAACACACAAAATACAGTCATTAAGTAGATAAGTACCATGATCTAAAGATATATTACTGTAATGCAAGAAATATTTCCAGTATCTAAGCTGAAATCAATGCAAATAGACAATTATCTTTTTTTTTTTAAATCCTGATTTGTCCGTTTTTTCCCAATATGACAAGTTTACTTAAACTAGCAAAGGAAATTCTAAAATATAAAGTATCATTTATGACTGATTACAATTTTACCTTAGCGAACTAAATAAAAGTTGTACTTTGGTCAAACATGACTATTTTTATGGGACAGACTTCAGCGGGAGCCTCACTTGCACAGTTGCTTGTATATCTTACTCACAGCAATTGTCAACATGCTTTTTCTTTTCTGCTACTTTCCTTTTTGGGCATGAGAATGTTCTTCTGTTCCATTTTATCATTTGTCAGAATTCGGCACAAACTTGGTGAATAATTGGATTTCTTTTTTGGGTATCTCAAGATTATATAATCTATTATTTTAAAATATTTTACTCATGTAAACTAACAAAATTGTTCCTTTCCCTAAAGGAGAGAGATAGTTACTGGAAGATGATGCATAAGTACATCGGAGCTGATGTAACCTCGATGGTGACACTTCCTGTCCTAATATTCGAACCAATGACGATGCTTCAGAAAATGGCAGAGGTTTCTGCTCTATTATATGCGAGTTGTTACAGTTGACAGTCTGCAAAATCATCATGCTCAGGGAAGTGTAGACAAGCAAACATAAGTACTAATTTTGTATTCTTGTGGCAGTTAATGGAATACTCCCACCTTCTAGACAGTGCAGATGACTGTGAAGATCCCTATATGCGCTTGGTGTATTCAAGTGAGTGTAACTGTTGAAGTTACACTATTACTATGTTATATTTTCTTTTGAGAGGTTTCAAGTTTAAATATAAATTGCTGCAGCATCTTGGGCAATATCTGTTTATTATGCCTTTCAACGTACCTGGAAACCTTTTAATCCCATTCTTGGTGAGACTTATGAATTGGTCAATCATGGCGGTGTTACATTTATTTCGGAACAGGTATGCTCAGTTCATCACTTTCTTCCCTTTTTTATTTTTCTGCATACTGGAAAAACCAGAGCTATAGTACCATGCTTTTATTAGTGAAAAATATTAAAAAATGAAAGGGTTGATATATACGCTATTTGTAGGTAAGTCATCATCCCCCAATGAGTGCAGGTCATGCTGAAAATGAACATTTTACATATGATGTGACATCAAAGTTGAAGACAAAGTTTTTAGGGAACTCCCTTGATATATATCCTCTAGGAAGGTTAGTCAGAAATATTCTCATTTCTTCTCTCCTACGTTGAGATTTAGCTTTGCAATTTGAGTTTCTCTGGCAGTCATGATGTGGCATACTTCTATTATTGCTTTCCTCCTTATTTGACCCTAAGAAATTCCTACACCTCAACAAAACTTTTCTTTTATTCATACTATATTTTGGCATATCAAGATACCCCTGTTTGCTATCTTATTAATGTTTTTACTGGCAATTGGACTGACATGTTATTTCATATAACATGCAAGTATTCAGAAATACTTATTTAGCTGATATTACAAGACTGTAATTTGTATCACAAATTTTTGCATGAGTCCTATAATGCAGATAGACCTGATGTAAATCATCTTTGTGCATTTCAGCTTTTGAGAATGTCTTCTTTTTAGTGACTTTTTCCAGTCTAATATGAAGTCAAGTATCTTCTGTGACATCAATTTTTTTTAAAGTAAATATCAAAGAGGATAAGAAGCCAACTGGACATAATTTTTACGAGGTGGGATGGACATCACACCCCATGGTCACACGTAGTCAACCCCGTCACCCACAAAACGACTCGGACTACTACCTCTACCCGGTTGACGCGAGGTTTGACTCTCCACATAAACTGGCTGCTGCACTCAAGCGTTACAAGTCATCACACCCGGAGGCCAAGACCTACCAACCGTATCTAAAAAAGGCGATCATTTTTCACAACAAATTCAACAGGTCTATCTCAGCTGCTGTGGGGATCCCTACACAAAATTTCAATTGTTAAAGTTTTAGTACTTGTTTGGTTTGTTTTCATATTTTTTCTTGTAATTTCAAACTTTATTTAATAAAATAGGGAAGTGTTCCCCGGCAATCCCCCACCCCGTGTGGTTTGCTCCGGGATAAAAAAAAAGGATAAGAAGCCAACTGGGTCACATTTATGTTCTCGTAAAAAGAAAACTAACTCTTTCACATCTTTTCTTGGATGCAGGACACGTCTCACTCTTAAAAGAGATGGTGTTGTGTTGGATTTGGTTCCACCACTCACTAAGGTCAACAATTTGATTTTCGGTCGGACTTGGGTGGATAACCCTGGGGAGATGATCATGACCAATCTGACTACCGGGGACAAAGCCGTGCTCTATTTTCAACCTTGTGGCTGGTTTGGGTATGTCATCAGTTTCATATATTCCTTCTCCTTTTGAATATATATGCTTGGATATACTTTGTCAGTATTGGAAGCGCTACAATATATTTGGAGCTATTATAAATTCTTCACAAATTTGTTTGGGGTTCAGGGCCGGGCGGTATGAAGTGGATGGATATGTTTATAATGCTTCTGAAGAACCAAAAATACTGATGACTGGAAAATGGAATGAATCAATGTCTTATCAGCCTTGTGATATGGAAGGCGAGCCTTTACCTGGCACAGAACTGAAAGAGGTAATCTTGCTTTCCTTTTCTGTTGTGTTCCATCTAATCTAATTATGCAAATGGGAAAACCAAAGGCATCTTCAAAGCATGTAAATATTTCACAAACTTCCAAACTCAGTTTTCGCCTTTTTATTTCTGAAATATAACCAGGAGTATTGTGTGCAGGTTTGGAGACTTTCTCCTGTTCCAGAAAAGGACAAATTCCAGTACACTCACTTTGCCCACAAAATCAACAGCTTTGATACTGCTCCTAAGAAGTTATTAGCATCTGATTCTCGCCTTCGCCCTGATAGAGCTGCTCTTGAAAAGGGCGATCTATCTAAATCCGGTTCTGAAAAAAGCAGGTTTAAATTTCATCACTCCCACTTGTTGTCCCTGTCCCCACCATTCTTATATTTAAGTGAGTCTACTTTGGCTCTTAACACCCTATGATTTGCCTTAATATTTGACTTTGCACTACACTTGGATGATCTTTCAAATAAAATAAATCAGGGATCGCAAAGTCCAGTTTTCCCTATCCCCCATCTTATACCTAGGTTCTCTTAGTTAGACCCTCTTCTCTAACAGCTGCATTTATTATTTTAGTTTGGAGGAGAGGCAAAGAGCTGAAAAAGGAACCCGTGAGGCAAAAGGGCATCAATTCACTCCAAGATGGTTTGATATAACTGACGAGATCAATCCAACGCCATGGGGAGACATGGAAGTCTACCAATTCAATGGCAAATACACTGAGCACCGGGCTGCTGTTGAAGCTTCCAACAGCGTTGATGTAGAAGATGTCGCATCAGTGGAATTCAACCCATGGCAGTATGGTAACGAGTCTGAGGAATGACGCACATCCAACTTTTGCATGAGTCGTTATATTTTTCGAGTTACCTAGATGATAATTTTGACTTGAAATTCAAGGCTTGACGTTTGTGTGTACATGTGTATCTCAGTTAATAGTGTTCCTCGTTTCATTATATTCTTGTTGAAACTAAGGAATGTTCTCCAGAGGACATTAATTGTAAAATTCTATAGTTTTTTCCTTCTAAAATTATGTCATTTGTTTTCTTCACTTGTGTCTTGTACAATGCTAGCGAGTACCAATATACCATTAATGGCTCTATTTGGGGATTGAGTGGGCTTAGCCATTTTGCTCACATATCAAAAGATGGTTTCCACAGAGCATTTCCTTAACCTAAGGGGCAAGTTGTGTAGGCTTGGAACCAATCTGGCTCTGGTTAAAAACTAACTGAATCGTTGTAAAATCAGCATGGACCTGATAAATAATGAAAAACCATTATGGAATTGAACCAAAATTAAATGGTTCAGTTCTTTATTTTATAATGCTCTACCGTCCTGTTGAAAGCTTCCCATTTTCCTATTTTTGATATTCCACTTAAAGGTTCCATTTCAATTTAAGAAGTAATTTATTTTCTTTAATTACACTTTTACTCAATTTTCTATTTTAGTATTTCCTACCCATTATATGTTAAGTCTGACAATTTCCTTTCCCATTTCCGATTCTTTTTCATATTTTGTTTCTTTCGTACTTTGTTTTTTCACTTACCACCGGAAGCTGTCACCTTTGGTCACCGTTAGTCCATATATTTTCATCACCAGTTTTTCAAAAATACGTGCGGTCGGTAGTGGACTAGTGGCCTGTGGCCAAGGCCGCAAGAAGTGTCATGATTGGATGAAAATAAGAAAAAATAAAATTTAAAGTAAATATTTCCTCTGTATTGTAATATTTGTTACTCCCTACAATAGAATTTGATACATTGTTTAAGAGAAAAGTAACCAAATTTGTAACGCCCCTCTCAGGGTTAAAGGAAATGTTACATAAACTTACTACTTAAAAAAACTGCGATATAACGGCCGTTTGTTTGAGAAGCAACCCTGATAAAATCTCAAATATAACTAAAATATAACTCCAAATAAAAGCTCAATAAAACCTAGTTATCACCAGCAAATGTGATAACCACCTGGAACAGGAATTTATTCAAACTTCAAATTCTCAAATAATTTAATTAATAATAATCTTTTTATTGTAACAATTGAAATACTGAAATAAAATCATGACTAGCTAGAAGCCTCCCAGCTCGTTCCCGTTAACTCATCTTGGCACGCGTTCCACTCCCTCATCATCTTCCTAGGCCTTGGCCATACCCTTAGTAAGTCACTGTGGACCCACAAAAAATATCTAGAAGTCTATGCCAATTTATCAATAGATAAATTTAGACGATAAGCATGCACCTAACAAATAGTTCACAGATAACTTCTCAAATAGCTTCTGAAAGAGATCTGAAAATAAATACTTTCTCAAAACATTTCTATAAAACTTTCTGAAAGAGATCTCATAAACTTTCTATAAAACTCTTTGTGGTAAATTTTAACTATGTGAACCCGTGATATGTACTCAAGGGCGCCAATCCGACAGCTCAGGAGAGCGACCCACTAAATATACCGGATTCTCTGAAACTAATAACTGATAACTCTGTGGGAACTTGTTCATGAGTACATATCACTTAATCTTTCACTTTAATTATTAGTTCTTTTTATGGTGACGTTTGGATAAAAACAATTAAAATCTTGAAATATAGTACTGACATAATCTCGACTATGTCAAACAATAAACATAACATAATACAATGATTAAAATAACTCATCCGAATAATTCACCATCCTCTAAAATTCTTTTAAAGAAAAAGATTATTAAAAAGGAAAAATATAGTAAAAATTTAAAAATATTCCAAAAATACGTATATCGAATAAAAGAATACCAAGGTCTAAAAAAAAGCTACACACCGGTGATAGTAATGTGAAGATGACATGCTAACTTGGAAGCTTGTGGGTAATCTACTAATCTACTAAAATGTTACTATCTCCGTCCCCTTAAGATTGGTACAAAGAAGAGTGGTGCAATTTTAAGAAAAATAAAGTTATGTGATTGGTAATGAATCGATAAAGTGAAAATAAAGTAATAATAATGAATAGAGTCAACATAAATATTACCAAAAATGACACGAGACGATTATAGTGAGACTGACGAAACAGAAAAAGTGCGACAATTATGATATACAAAAATGCATAAAAGCTTATTTAATTAATTGAAAAGGACACGAATGTTTCCTGTAGTTTTATAAAATATAAATAATTGACTAGTTTTCTTTTTCCCAAAAATATGATAAATCTTTTGTTTAATTAATTCAATTTTTCTTATTGTAATTTACATATTGATTTTTTGCTTCATTTTTTCCCCCCTATTTGTAAGGATTTAAATGGGACGTCCCAAAAAGAAAAGTATAAAAATTTAACCACGAGGAAGTATATCTTCCTGATTAATCTCTACCTCAACGTACATGAATGAAAGTTTAAACTTTACACCTTCACTTTGAAAGATAATAGTGATGACATTACACTACAAGATGTTCAATTATTTTGAGAGAAGAATGATAACTTTAAATGAGTTCCCTTATATGTCTCTTTTGAATTGATTTCTTTCAGATCTCATTTTCATGTTGGCTTCAGTGCCACACATCCGAAGAAAGTAGGAAGATGAAGGATGTCATTTTAGAAAAGAAAAATATATTGAATGTAAATGGATCTTTAGCCGCGTGATCTTATTTAGCTTTAACAACTCAAACATAGGGAGTAGTTCATTTGTTCAATGAGGATATTCTTTTTTATTTAGAGCTCGCTGAGGAACTTGTTTTTCGGTTCATTAGGCTTATCAGCTATCTTTTCATCAAATACATAATTTTTGATTTTGCGTGTTGAATTGTGTTTAATAAGAAAAATTAAGGTTGAAGTTATTTTTTTGACTGTATTGGTTGATATTACTTCATGTGGATGATTGATCCTTATTCTATCTTTCTTCCCTCTTTTTCTTTTATCTTTTATCTTCTTTATTTTTTATGCTCTTATATTATTTTTATCTTCTAGTTTTTTATGTTCTTTTATCTATTATGTTTCAATAGCAGAGGTTTATTTTGTTACGTAACTCGTGTTAAGGGAAAGGTGCAAATAAGCTCATGTACTAACAAAAAAGGTCAAATAAGCCCTTATTTAGGAGGTTCTGTCCGGTCATCGCTATTTAGGATGGTTCCCAGTGGAATTTTTTGATGAAATTTTTTGAGCATCTTATTCATCAAGTCTAGTTTACTCATACCAAATGTCAGCTAAAAATTCAATCGGGAAGGCATTCAAATGAATTCTTGAATCTAACTGCGCAGTTAGAATCCAACCGTGGCTTAGACATACGAAGCCACTGGGAGAAAACGACGAAATCAGTGGCCTTCGAAACTAGGAGCCCTCGGCACTAGGAGGCCCCCGGTACGCAGAGCCTTCAGACTATCATCTATAGCCGAAGGCGTCCTCCTCGACAGAATCTCCCATCCACATGCGATGGATCAACGTACCAAGTACAAACGTCACATCCAACCACCGCATTTAATGCAGCTACATGCGAGTGCCAGTGCCACCTCGTTGAGGTGACCCCTCGACCACCAGAATGATGACACATGTCCTTATCTAGCATTTATTGCTGCTATAAATAGCACACCTTTCCCCATTTGTAAACCATGCTCAATACAACTAAAGTTCACATAATCAAATACTTTCTCTCTCTTGCTTATTTGCTCTGACTTCTCTCTAGCTACTCCCCGCAGTAACCCCTCAGATAAGCTACCCCCCAGGTACACTATCCATCGTTTGGTGCTCTCGTCTAGAGGTCAAACAATCAAGTAAGAAACCCTCCCCTTCAGCTCAAAAACACCTACCAAAATGGGAAGAACCACCCGTGCTCAGTCCAAGAACCATGAGGACAACAACCTGGCCCTCGGTGAAGTCAACGCCCCCGGAGCCTCTAACAAGGCTCCCGAGGGCGGGGTCATCACTGAGTTGGAACAGGTTGCTGTTGACCTACGCCTTCAGCTCCAGCAAAACGCTCCCGATGCCTGCCTTGGCATCAAAACCCGAAGGAGGGACCAGAGCGAAAATCAAGTGAGCCCTCCGGTTCTCACTATCGACGTACAGTCGGCATTCTCTGCCTTCATCCAAACACTCACTCAAAACCCAGGTGCCTTCGGCACTCTGGTGCCCCTTCAACCGCAAATCGGGGAGAACGCTATTCTTCTCCCACGTCCACCCCCCCTTCGTGAACCCTACCCCTCAGGTGGTGAACGACGAAGGGGTCGTAGCTAAAGACACCGCCTCCCAGGAAGTCCAGTCTCGGGACCAACGCAATGCGAACAAGGAAAGGCCTCGGACCTCGGCCCTCGAGAGGCTCGGAGGAGCGCAAGACCGCCGAGGGGTCCAAGACCGCCTCGGTGGAAAGGCGTCCCAAAGACCCCAAGAGAGCGGGGGATCCGTCTCAAGGGCAGACGAGAGGCGTCCCCATCAGGACAAAGGCAAGGCACCACTCCATACCGATGACGCAAGACATCAAATCAACGAGGCCCACTCGGCCCGTGTTCGTTCGCAGGGGGCGGAGGCCCTCCCGAAGGATCACAGGGACGAGATTATTGCGGCCCTCCAGCACCGGCTTGATGAAATGGAGGTCCATCGAGCACATACCGCCGTCGCCACCCCTCATGCAGATCCCAAATATGAGGCCATGATGGCCAAAATGGAGGAGATGCAAAAGAGAATAGCTGAGGGCTCCGGGGAACCCATCATCCAACTCCGGTCTAGGACGCCATTTACCCCAAGGGTATTGGCGGCCCGAATTCCAGAAAAATACCGGGGCAACCCATCAGGCCCTACGAAGAAAGACAGATCCCCAGGAGCATTACAGCAGATATCAGAACAGTATGATGATGGTGGGGGCATCGGACGAATATTTGTGTCGTTGGTTCCTCTCCACCTTAGAGGGACCAACATACAAATGGTTCAACCGACTGCCCAAAGGTTGCATCGATTCATGGCAGGAACTCGCCCAACGTTTCTTGACGCAATTTGCAGGGAGGCGTGGGTCAAGAAAACATTTCTCCCACTTGCTGACGGTGAGACAAAGAAAGGAAGAGACCCTTAGGAACTTATTGGAACGCTGGAGGACGGAGGCGGATAAAGTTGACGGCGCTGACGATGGGACCCTCCTGGCCCTCCTTCAAACAGTCCTCTGCCGCGGGAAC